TCGCCACACACTCCCTGCCCAGTGTTGATCTCACAGTTTAAAAAAAAAAATACAGGGAAACACGTTTATAAATTTATTAACTATAAAAAATATTTCGATAACAAAAATATACATGACATGTCCGATTGTTTTTTACAAAACAAAACCAGCCTGCTTGATATCGCCACAAATTTTTGCAAACTTTGACGAATTTATAAAGCTAAACGAGTTGTCGTAGGTCCGTAATAATTTAGTACGATCAAGAAGCCTCTGGTATCTACCGCTAAAAAAATAATCATAAAAATCGTCGAAATTTTTTTTTTAAACTTTATTACAAGAAAACGGCCCGGCCGATCTCTACCAAAAACTAATCAGCACGATTCCAAACCAATATCTATCGAACGGTTTTTGAATTTTTAAAATCGATTCAGAATTGCGAGTTAAAACGTGAACGAAAAATTTTTCACTTTTCTGCGATTTACAAAGAAACGGCTTGGCTGATCGTCGCACAAAACTCAGAAACGCTAGTCCTCATCGCGATACATCGAATGGCTTTTAAATTTGAAATCGGTCCAGCCGTTTTCGAGAAAACGTCGATTTTCGGCAAAAAATCTGTTCACACACACACACACATACTTTTTCCAAATGTTGGTCTCATTCGATTCAGAATGTCTTCAAACGTCGAGAAAACATAAAATTAGCGAATCGGATTTTTTGATGAAAACATAAACTTCTCCTTCGGGAAGTTAATTAGGATTAATACATGTGTAAAAGGAGTGTTTTGTGAATATCATTTCTATTTACCTTCCGCTAGTCAGATCGACACACTCCTTCCATCTGGATTCCTGTTCGGTTCTACCACTAAGGGCTGTTGCATATTGTAATTGTCTCTTACGAAGGTCGTCGGTCAAAAAGAATATGCTAAAGGCAGTCACTCTCCAAAGTGCATAATTGGCCTGGACCCTAAAAATCATATTTTTTTTTAAGAAAATTATTTATTTCTTTATTTAATCAACTTTTTTTTCTTTTCTTTTTCTTTAATTCTATTTCTTTACTTCTAATTCTAATTAATTTTAACTCAACATCTCAAATTCTAACTCAAGACATTATTTACTTCAAATACTTCTTCTATTAATTCGTTTTACATTATCTTAAGGGGCACAACTAGTGTAATCGCCTAAAAAAATGTGATTTTTGGGAATTTATATTAAAAAAAAAAAAATACTTTATCAATCATTTCAAAATTTCACGAATATATTTATACACCTAAGTCTGTTTTTACACGGTCTTTTTGTACACGGTTTTGATATAACACGGTTTGAAAATTGAATATTTTTAATTTTTTTACACGATTTTATTCCATTTAGCACGATTTGAAATTTTATGTACTTAAATTTTTTTGTCAAATTTAATTTTTGCGATGTATGTTCATATCACAAAAAAGTATTTATGAAAGAAAAAAGTCTGAAACCATCGATAGTATCGATAGTTTGCAAACACTAGCATAAAGATTTAAGTAAATTCCCCTTTAGTGCGTACAAACAATTTTTACTGGTCAAAGCAAATGTGAATAGCACTAATTTAGGGGAATTATTATTAAAATAAACATGAATTCTTGTTCTTGAAAATTCTTGTTTTTCACTAATTTTAATAGGTTTTAGAGAGTAGGACAAATCACCCATTTTTGTATAAGTTCAATGTCTTTTTTTACACGGCTTCTTCTGGAACCAATCTCCGTGTAAAAACAGACTTATTTTTAGGTGTACATGTTTTAAGAATACATAGTAAAATTTTTGAAGAAAAAAATTAAATATTTTTTAAGGTATCGTCGATCTCCAACGGCGCGACAAAACTTGACAAAATGACGGAGTTTTTTTAAAAAAAGTCGAATTTTACCCAAAATTTTGATCGTTTTTGGACTGCCAAAATTCGATTTTTGATCCGATCAAAAAATCGATAGTTCATTTTACGGAGAACTATAAAAAGACTCAAAAACTATTTGAAATATCGATTTAAAATTTTGGTATGTCATTTTTAAAAGTATAATCTATCGAAATATGGAAAAATTGAAAATTCAATTTTTTGAAAATTTCACACTAGTTGTGCCCCTTAAATACTTTAGATATTAGTCAAGATTTGGGTGAGATTAAATTCTAATCCACCCTTACCTCTTTGGTGTTTCCTTCAACAATTTCTCGAGTTTGGTAAGATAACTTGGCACATTGACAACGACGACTTCATTTTCTGTGACTTTTAGGCCTTCCGGTAAAAGGACATTGATGTAGTCCAACCATTGCACCAGAGGAAACTTCTCTTGCAATTCGGCGATTGTGTGAGGATTGTACAGGACTGTTGCGTTGCGCCTCTTTTCGGTCGGCAGAGAAATCTATTTAGTAAAAAATAATGTAAATTAGTGGTGTATGGTATCGTGCCTTAAGGCAAATTGCTGGAACTTCCCGTACCGTAATGAAATTTTCGAGAAATTTTAAACGTTTTCAAATATATTATTACAAATACTAATGTAAATTTCATTATTTTTACTATCTTGTTATATCTGAGCAAATCAAATGTAAATCATAAATCATAAATCAATTTATCTCCAGAACATTAACAATCGTCATTCCATTTCAGTTTTATACATTTTCGAATAGATAATTATAATCACTATATATTTTATCGTTCATAAAATATACATATAGTGAGGATCTTATCGCTCAAAGCACTTGAGAAAGTTTACATTAGCAAGAGGTGCTGAAAAAATCCGTCTGAGGATATATTCTTACTGCATTTGAAATATATACATTTTCAAACCAAATTGTAAATTTAAAATTCATATTTGTAGTATAAAACTTTGTATATTTTTGAAAATAATGAATTTTTTTTTCGGAAAATTGTAATAAAAAAAATATTTTTAAAAACTAGTGCTGTATGGCATCGTGCCTTAAGGCAAATTTCTGGAACTTCCCGTACCGTAATAAAATATTCGAGAAATTTTAAACGTTTTCAAATATATTATTACAAATACTGTAACTTTCATTATTTTTACTATCTTATTGTTATATCTGAGCGAATCAAATGTAAATCATAAATCAATTTATCTCCAGAACATTAACAATCGTCATTTCATTTCGAATTCAATATTAATAAAAAAATAGTTGCCTAATTTGCACAAAATTGAAAAAGTTCTCCCGTACAGTCACAGTCTAAACGCATTTGCAAATAATTCTGTGCGACATTTTCACTTATACTGTGTTTAGCTTGGCGGCATTTTCACATTTTTCAATAGTTTTCACAAAATTGGAAAAGTGCTCCAGAACATAAACAGTCTAAACGCACTTGAATAAACATTTGTACCAGAGTGGCGCTTAGACTGTGCTTAACTTAGGTAATTTTTTGAATTTTTAATCCAAAAATTACAAAAATATTTTATGGAAAATAAAAAAGAGATGTATTAATTTTTTATCCCCAAAAGCAATTGTTTTGTCAATACAAGCAGAAAGTTTTTTAGATCATTCAAATCGGACGCTTAGTTCACTCAAAAACTGCCATTTTTGCACATTTAGCTCTCTATCTTCGAGATGGCTGGGCCTGCCTTTGCCAAAAACTAATCACTTCTTCTCTCAATCATTACAAATTACAAACGAATAATTTTTAAATCGGATGCTCCGTTCTCTCAAAAACTCGATTTCTATTTTCTGCACTCTTTGCTCCGTATCTCCGAAACGGCAGGACCTGCCTTTGCCAAAAACTAATCAGCACATCTCTCTATCAATAGGAATCTAATGTTTCCTGAACCATTTAAATCGGTTGATCCATGCGCCCGAAAACGTGACCGAAAAATTGTATCCATACATACATACATACACACACACATCCATTTTTTCTGAGGTATGCCAAAATGTTCAGAAACCTTCAAAACGTCGATAAATAAGAAAATTTTCATTTTCGATTTTCTATTACTAACATTACTATAACTACCCTACGGGAAGTTAAAAAAGAACCAATAAAGTGATATAATAAGTAACAATTGCCTGGTTTAACAATAAATGAATATAATGTGATGTTTACTGTTTATTTTATACTATTTATACATTTTTTTGCATATTTGAAAAGCATATTTTATAACTTTTTTCCTAATATTTAAACTCAATTTGAGAAATGTTTATATTTTATTGATTATTATTACATTTTCGACTATAAATTGCCATGTTTTCAAATAATTCAATTGAGTAAATTCCTTATTGAATACTTCATATTTTTCTGCAATAAATCAGCACGTGTCTTTGCAGAAGACTCAATTGTGTATATTTATTATTACAAATAATGCATTCATCGAGATGAATTCAATTGTGAATTTGCTTGTGACGTTTGAGAATTCTTTTTTTTGAGAATGTCTTATTACAAACATTGCATCGATGAGGGCGCAATCCTTTGTGAAGGTTCATGTGTGCTTTCAGATTACCAAATTGTGTGAATGTCTTATTACAAACATCGCATTGATGAGGGCGTATTCCTTTGTGAAGGTTCATGTGTGTTTTCAGATTACTTGATTGTGTAAATGTCTTGTTGCATATACCGCATTCATACGGGCGCTCACCAATGTGAACGATCATGTGTTTATTCAGACTACTTAGTTGTATAAATGTTTTATTGCACATATTACAAACATGGGGGCGCTCACCAATATGAATGCTCATGTGTGTTTTCAGATTACTTGATTGTGTGAATGTTTTATTGCACATATTACAAACGTAGGGACGCTCACCAACGTGAATAATCATGTGCTTATTCAGATTACTTCTTTGGGTGAATGTCTTGTGGCATATACTGCATTCATGGGGGCGTTTTCCACTATGCAAAAGCATGTGAGTTTTCAGGTAACCTTTTTGTTTGATAGTCTTATGACAGATTTCGCATTTTAAAGGACGTTCTTTGCTATTACTAGGCTTGTGATCGACCATATGCTCTTTTAATTGATCAGATTCTGCAAATGATTGATCACAAATGTCACATTCATAAGCTGAAGTCTCGACTAACTCGTGTTTGACTTCTTCTTCCATAGTCACTTCAGAGTTCATGAAATTTTCTAAACAGGTATCATCATCCTCAGAACACGATTCAGATTTAACAATATCATCAGAAACATCAATATCATCCTGAATTTCGTGTTTAATGTCTTCTTCTGAATATTCTGGTGGTTCAATTTTAATTGCCGAATCATTCATTGACATAATTGTTTCTTCTGACATTTTTAAATACTTTAACTGCTTATACTCATTCACGAAATAATTGAAATAATTCCAAAATAGGCGTGGGCTAAATAATAACCTACTTTCTAGTTTAATCAACAATCCTTTTCAATACTGCAAGTAATAATACAAAAATGCAAGTCCATAAATGATTTCAACTTAAATTAAATTTATTATTTGACATTTGGAGCATAGAGTATACTTACAGAAAGATGAGACGCTTCTCATATCACTTACACGTTTAACAATGGCGCGCATTTTCAAATTCATTATGTTTCTTTAAGTCTAAACTATTTTATTAAATAATATTACTATTATTAATTTTACAAACGTTTCGAGACTAGGTTTGTCTCATCATTGGTGTATTATAATTTGAAATTTTAAGACGATTTACATACAATTTCCAGCAGCAGAAAAACAGAATTAAATACAAAAAATATAAACCAATAGAAAGTATACACATATAACAACCCTACGGGAAGTTAATAAATTTTATGAATATTAAATTAGTAGATTTAATAGCTTTCAGATTTATAATTTCTTTCCATGTCTTTCAATATTCAGTATTCAGAAAATCTATTTTTTTTTACTCACATTGGCAAGATTCATTTCGAATTGGAGCGACTCCTTCAATTCCTTCTCGGCCCTGTCTCTGGGAGCACCCAGCATGACTGCTAAATCCGTCATATATTCATAGTAGGCTATCACGATGCGATCCGAAAATCCTTTTACCAGATATTCACGACTTAGTCCTAGGATCGCTTGGTCCAACTGAAAGGATAAAAGATACATAAATATAGTTATCACACCTATGAAAAAGATAGAATAATCAGTATATAATTCTAAACTTATTGAAATTTAGCTCATGTTCAACTTCCCAGGCAGTAGTGGGAATATTCACTTAAATCAGTATTTTAATAGGTTAAACAAATATTCTAAATAAGTCCACCAAGATTAAATTTAAATCCAAAATTAAATCCTATGTCTATGAAGATTTAAATTAGATTAAATTTAATAAAATATAAATTAGCTGCCTGTATTAAGCTCTGTATCTTTTGAACAGGGACTATCCGAACCACAGAGTTTTTTATTTTTGTTCTAAACCAAACAATTTTACGTCGATCATCATTCCACTTACATCTATAACTCTTTTGGTAGAATTCTTAAAATCCGTAGAAATCGAGAAATCGATAAAGTAATCCATGGAGTATCCATTCTGCCTGAACTGCTTCACACTTTTATCCCAGGACCATTTGGATTCATCCCAAGAAGGCCCATCCAAAACTGGCCAACCTCCTAGACGTTTGTGAGCCTCCAAAAGTGGAGTGTAACCTCTTTTCTCGATTAGAGCTAAAAAAATAAATAAAACATAATTAAATAATATATATATACTAGCAAACCCGACGAACTGCGTTTCGCCTCCAGATGGTTTCGTGAAAAAAAAGAAGAAATTTTTTGTTTGTTTTATATTTGAAAAGAAAAAAAATGATTTTATTACACAACAGTAATGAATTTATTTCGATTACAAAAATGAAGTGTTTTTTAGTTGAACTTGTCTAAGTAAATGAAAGTGAATCCGCAAATTATCCGTTTCATTTAAGTGCTCTTTGGTAAACCACATTTTTTGTTTTTTGGTCTGACGTTAACACAAACAAAGCGGATGGTTTTCCAACTCGTGAACAGGCAACGTATAACTGCCCATGTGAAAAACAATGATTTTCTAAATAATCTATTTGAAATTCATCCCGCAAACACTAAGCGATTGGCCTTGCGACTTGTTATTGCGAACGCAAGGCGAACTGGAAATTGCAATCGTTTGAAGTCAAACGGAAGACCAGTCAGAATCATTGGTATGTCACCAAATCGCCAGCAATTTTTGATTGAATGGTGAAATTCAGTGCGTGTACATCATTATTCTTTGCGGCAAGAATTGCTCGTTGACTTAACCAAGCATAATTCTGATAATTCTCACTAATGTCATTACTCGAATTTTTAATTACGGTGCGTGAAGTTCCAGCAGCTTGCATTAAGGCACGATGCCATGCACAACTAATTTTCTTAGCTATAAACCTTGCGGAGCCCAAGACCTTTCCAACGAATGCAAAATTGTCGAAATCGGTTTGTGCGTTCTGGAGTTATTTCGTCAGAAAGGAAAACCCGACTTATTTATATATATATATATATAAGATAATTTTAAACTGGTTTGGTACTTATAATTTTAATTCTGTTTAATTTTATTTTGTTACTTTATTTTATTACTCTTTTTGTATTTTAGCTAAATGATGAGCTAGTATAATAGCTCGAAACGTATTAAAGAAAATTTTATACTTATGTTCTGTTTTTATTTTTCGACTTGTGGCTGAAAAACCTTATCACAATATGTTTCAAAGTCAAAATAACAATATCAATATTTAAATATATACATATATATATATATATATATATATATATATATTGTATATATTTTATAACTTACATTTATTCATGCAACTTTTGTACAAATCTTTGGCAACCGTAAATGGCTCCGGTTCGTTTTCTCTGTCAATAGGAGATTCCACGATGCCTCTAAGTTGCAACTGCAACTTGTCACCGATTACTGAGAATGTATTCACCGATACCTACAATAAAAAACAAACCATTAATTATAATTAATTATAATAATTATTATTATAATGATAAATAAATTATAAATCCTTTACCTTGTCGTCTGGTATAACAGTGTCTTTCAAAAATGAACCGCAAGCGAATCTGTAGAAGTCGTCGCACGGTTCGATGTTTCTGTCCATGGCTTGGATAATACGATTTGCTAAAAGAAATAAAAATAATATATAGTATAAAATATTGTAAAAAAATAATAATATATAGTATAAAACATTGGATCACATTTATCAAAATTTTCTCAAATGATTCAGAATCGTCTTGAAACCGGCTGACAATAAAACAAAACTAGCAATTCGGATTTTCTGGTTAAACAAACTTATCCTTCGAGAAGTATTATATAACACAAATTAACTTTTGTTGGCTACAAACTTCAGGCAATCTACAAATTAACATAATTAACTCATAATATAGTACCAAAGAAATATTCTCTTAATTATCTTTTAACTAACTGGTGAAATAAAAAATAAATATGTACATATTTTTGACTTAACTTACTGACAGTAATAGGAACAAGTGCTATTTTAAATTTTCACATTTAACTTCCCGAAGGAGAAATTTATGTATTCATCAAAGAATTCGATTCGCTGATTTTATGTTTTCTCGACGATTCAAGCCATTCTGAATCGAATGAGACCAACATTTGGAAAAAGTATGTGTGTGTGTGCGTGTGCAAATATAGTTTATTATAATTTACCTGCTTTGATGCAACCAGGTGTCATGCAAACGTCCGGAGTTTCGTCGTATTTGGTTTTGGTGGAGCATAAAGTTTTTTCCTTTAAATTTCCTTCTGGAGGAAATCCGTCGCCGACGGACGCCGCTGCCATTGGCATTGGCTCACCTGAAAGGGGTAAAAGATAATTATTTATATATATATATACTAGATGACCAGACAGACGTTGTCCTGTACCCATGTCTACAATTTTTTAATATGATATACTAATATTTACCGTTTACCTAAAAATAATAATTATTGTTTTTTAAATTACTCTTCACGCCAAAATGCATATACATTTTACAATAGGAGAGATGTTAAATGTAGAATTGCTTTAAATAAAATGATGAGTCTCAATGCCCACACTATTTTGGAAATTGAAGTCTTTTAAACGGTATAACATAATTATAACACTGATACTTCATCTTGGATTAAATTAATTTAATTTTTTATTATTTAAGATATCCAAAATTGCATCTTAACTTCTCCTAATCGATATCGTAAGGGCCGAATTGTATGTATTCATCTTTACTTTCTCATTTGTTGATATAAGTGAAATTTTTACGAATTTCAAAAATATTGTGGAAAGGTTAGTACAGGATGCAAAATTAATTATATATTGGAAAGAAAACTATATTGAAAATTTAATATCCGAATCTTGTGTCGGCGCCCCCTAAGGCGTGCCCTTGTATTTTTGTATTGCATTTGCTTGTATTTTTCGCATGCATCGCAATAAAGGTAGGACCGGCCCTGATTAATACTTAATTTCATATTTTTAGTGAATTTATTTGTCATATCCTGTTTCTATGTGTATCGTTCAATCTGCCATACAGATACTGTATTTTATATTATTCTAATTTCTGGCACATCTCAGCTGCTTTTCGGTAATAATAATGTAGACATTATTTCATTTTTCTTATTCATAATCATAAATTTATTATACATATTCTAATATTGTCTAGGTTCATAAGTAAATTGAAATTTTTGGCAGATGATGGTTTTCATTTGTTTTCAATGCAAACAATGACATGTCGTTTTTTATAACTTTTTCCATTTATTTCTACAATATTGCACATACATTCCAGTACTTTATAATCACATACATCCTAGAAAATTTCCTTAACAACTTCAGAAAGATTTATCAAAATCTGAATGATCGTTTAGGAAGAGTGTACAGTGAGTGCTTGTAATTTAATATGAACTTTATATAATAGCAATAAACTTAAATTTGTATGAAAACATTTGTATGAGAAAAGGGAAAGTGCTGGTTTTAGGGTATTCCCGGCAATTATTCGATTTTTTCTAGCCGTAAGAACCATCCTTGGACTTGAACGAACATTTTAAAAAAATAATTGTCCAAAGTGGTCCAGGCGTTGTTGAGTTATGCGCTTGCCAACACATTTTGCGATTCATTATTATATATAAGATTAAATCTTAAAAATTTTCTTTGACAAACTCCAAAAAGATTTACCAAAATCTGAATAACCGTTTAGGAGAAGTATCAAATCATACACCCGTTCAGAAGAAATTTATATATAAGACATGTATGTATGAATTGTTTAATTAAATTACCAGCAGGTGCGTGTCTTGTCTTTCCATCTAGCAGGATGACGCAGAGCGACGTGACCAGGGCTAGTACCGCCAACACGCCGCAAGCTGTCGTTAGCGTCAGCACGCGCTCCAGGCCGGTTCTTCTTCGCCACCATGACGGATTACTAAAAAAAAGAAAAGATTATTATTAATATTAATATTATAGAGCGGCACTTTCTTAATGAACCGATAATAAAATATCATTAAACTAGTTGGTTTGGTATTGGGGCAAGGCCTTGAGGCAAGTTACATGAACTTCCCGAAATGTGTAAATAATCGACTTAATCAAAAAAAAATGTGTAAATAATATACTTCATTAATCCTACTTTAAAAAAACGATAATAATTTTAGCAAACTTTGACGAATTTTTAAAATTAAACTACTTGTCGTTAGGCCGTAATATTACAGTAAGTTCTATAAGACCATGATGTATATCGCCAAAAAAAAATTCCATGAAAATCGGCTTAAATTTTTTTTCAACAGTTAATTACAAGAAAACGGCTCGGTAGATTTTCACCTAAAATTAATCAGTACCATTCCCAACTAATATCTTTCGAACAGTTTTTGATTTTTTAAAATCGTTCGGTAGGATGAGCTTAAATGTGGATGAAAAGTTTTTTTCAAATTACAAAGAAACGGCTTGGCAGATCGTTGCACAAGACTGACAAACGATAGTCCTCACCGAAATACATCAAATGGCTTTTAAATTTCTAAAATCGGTTCAGGCGTTTTTGAGAAAACGTCGATCAAAAGTCTAATTTTGACAAATGCCAAAAAGACCATACTGATTTTTGCAAACTTTGACGAATTTTTAAAGCTGAACCAGTTGTCGTAGGGCCGTAATATTTTAGTATGATCTAGTCTAGAAAGACTATGGTAATTAGGTCACAAAAAATAATCATAAAAATCGTCGAAATTTTTTTTTTTTAAAAACTTTATTACAAGAAAACGGCCCGGCCGATCTCTACCAAAAACTAATCAGCACGATTCCCAACCAATATCTTTCGAACGGTTTTTGAATTTCAAAATCGATTCAGAATTGCGGGCTAAAACGTAGACGAAAATTTTTTTTCACTTTTCTGCCATTTATAAAGAAACGGCTTGGCCGATCGTCGCACAAAACTGACAAACAATAGTTCTCGTTGAGATACATCGAATGGCTTTTAAATTTTTGAAATCGGTCCAGCCGTTTTCGAGAAACGAAGCGTCCGATTTACGGCAAAAAATTTGTTCACGTACACACACACACACATACTTTTTTCCAAATGTCGGTCTCATTCGATTCAGAATGGCTTGAAACGTCGAGAAAACATAAAATTAGCGAATCGGGTTTTTTGATGAAAACATAAACTTCTCCTTCGGGAAGTTAAAAATTACTAGCTTTGAGAAAACAGGTTAGTCAAATAGTTCACTGGCTCTTCTGCTATAAAGAATGGATCAGAGATATGGTCTATAAGGATGTACGACAAAGAAACATCGACATAATATGATAATTGCTTTGTAACTACTTGAGAAATAAACTGACGAGGCAATTTTGCCGTAACAGAGCAAATAAAATAGCGTTGTCATTGAAAATTATAAAAATGTCTACTTATTTGCAGTGCGATCAGACGTATTTTACATATATGAACAATTAAGGAATAATGTTGTGATAACAGAATTCTAAATGGTGCAATTATCATAACATATTCTTCCTTGCTTGTTTATATGTATAATACTCCTGAACGCATGGCAAATAGATAGACATTTTCATAATTTTCAATATCAAGAACAAGTATAAGAGAGGGTTGCCATGACAACTCTATTTTATGAGCTCTGTTACGGCAGAATTACCCTATTAAATATACAATACAAAAAAAGATGAAGATAAAATGTAAAGAAAACTAGGCGGAATCTTTACTGGGAAAAAATGCCAAGGAAAAAGGCTTCAGGTGATTTAAATAATTGCAAATGATGGACGATTTGAACAAAAAGAGAAAATACAGGTCCAAGCACTGGATGAAAACTAGCTTACTATAGACAAGAAAAAAAAGGCCAAGGGTATATTAAATGGGTTTTCTTCACACCATGAACCTGTCTACTACAAGAGTACCAGTAATAATTATTAAGACTACAAAAATATTACTCCATATCAATATTTATTTAACACTTATACTTGATAAGCATTATTCTTGTTTCCAAATCGTATTGTATTGTTTACGGAACCACAATGATCATAAAAAAGTATTTTTGTTCATTCTGCAACAAAAAATGGATGCTTTGACCTTTTTGCAATTGAAAACGTCTGCGGTGCTAAAAATATTTTTTATGCACAAAATATACTTACATATGTATATATCTACATTCATGTATACAAATGATTTTACATAATAATAATTATGACAATGAGTTTAATCGCTGTCAAAGTTCAGACAATTATTACTGTGTTCCGTCACGCGTGACGTTCGCACGTGACGAGGCAGAAAAATCACCGCAAATCTTCTGTCAAAGCCTCGGAGACTTCTGACAATGGATCAGCTCGAAATTGAGCCCCCAATTAAATAAATCATCATCATTTCTACTAACTCAGTACCGAAAGACACAGGTGTAAAAATTACACTTTATGATAATTATAAAAATACTCAAAAAACATACTTTTTCCAAATTTGATGTCAAACGATTCAGAATGACTTGGAACGTCGAGAAAACATAAAATTTGCAAAAACAAACTTCTACTTTGGGAAGTATGACACACCGTTACATAGTGTTCTTTTATTATTTTTACTATTTAAAACCAGTTACATTTATGTTGCGTTGCAGTTACGCAACTTTTACATGCAAATGCAAACACTTGAATAATTTATTCGTTCGTTCTTCTTTGTTCAACAATATATATTTAAAATTTTCCAAGAAATCAATCTAATCTTCAAAGCAATTTTGAATATATAAATAACGAGTACAAAAACAAAAATGCATAAAAATATACATAAAATTACCATCGTTATCATTATCGTGCTTGCAATTTTGCAATTTTATATTTATAGGCTAAGTTATTTTTAAATATATGCATTTATGTTAAAAATCGTACCATTTGATAAGAGTAATTGTTGCAATTTGCATAAAACAATAATTGAAATTCATAAAACAATTTGAATAAAGCAAAATGATATTGTAATCATACTTTTATTTCAAACAAAACATGTTTGTAAAATAGCCGCTTATCAAAATTTAATATGTAACATTTTGCCTTATTACAAATTAAAAAGGAATTACACTGTTATTGTTATAGTTTTTGGCATAGTTTAAATTCGTAATTAAATGTTATGAATGCAAATGTTAATTTTAATTCATAATTAACTTGAGAAAGTAATATCTCTTGTAAATTCTCTAAAAAGTCGCATTTTCTAATTTTTGAAATTTTTCTCAATTATTTTCAATTTCTAGATGTTTTTCATATTTTTAAAGAAAGTATTGGAAATAAAAACTTTGCCAAAAATTTGAGACAGACAAAAAAATTGATAGCCATGTTAATTTTATCTTTTCTTTCCAACTATTTTTAATTATCGATGAATCTATTTAATTTTTATTTTTTATTCATTTATTTATTTAGTGAATGTAGTGAGTTCCAATGAACGATTGACCTGAATAAAAATGTGAATGAGAAATTTCGTTTTGGTATTCACGACGACGTTTTAGAAACTGTTATTTTGTTTAGTGTATTTGACAAACACAAATAAAACTCAATGCATACATATTGAATTGATTGAACGATGAAAGAATTTATAAATATTTGTACATAAATATATATTTATATAAATATATATATATATATATATATATATTTATATAAATCTTAAGCACAATGTTTAAATAAATTCAAATATATCTATGCAAATATTAAACCGTTAACAAAATTATATGTACTTAACAATTTATTATTAACAAATTTGTAAAATGTCTACGCCAATAAGAAAAAATAGCATCACTAAAGTTGCACGTGGTTGCTACGTAACATGTACGACACAAACAAGAATGTTGTGCTGTGTTACGTTAAGGTTTCGTTTTTGTTGCGTTTTCATATTACTGAGTAAACTTATGGAATATCTTTGACGTTACTAGAAATTTAAATATAATTATTTATAACGTGAATTTTTTTTGCTAGTACTTTTATGGACTTGAACATTAAATTTGTCGAAAGCAGTCATGAAATATTTGTCATGATTTATATTTTATGTAGTAAATTTATGAAACATGTGCGACGTATTTGCTACGTAACGAACAAAAATAAAACTAGTGGTATATGGCATCGAGCCTTAAGGCAAATTGCTTGAACTTCCCGTACCGTAATGAAATATTCGAGAAATTTTAAACGTTTTCAAATATATTATTACAATTTCTGCAACTTTCATTATTTTTGCTATCTTGTTATATCTGAGCAAATCAAATGTAAATTATAAATAAATCAATTTATCCCCAGAACATTAACAATCGTCACTTCATTTCGAATTAAATTAAAAAAAAAACAGTTGCCTAATTTGCACAAAATTGAAAAAGTGCGTATAGTCACAGTCTAAACGCATTTGCAGATAATTCTGTGCGACATTTTTACTTATACTGTGCTTAGCTTGGCGGCATTTTCACATTTTTCAATAGTTTTTCACAAAATTGAAAAACATAAACAGTCTAAACGCACTTGGGTAAACATTTGTACCAGAGTGGCGCTTAGACTGTGCTTAGCCTGAGTAATTTTTTGAAATTTTAATCCGAAATTACAAAAACATTTTTTGAAAAAAAATTAGAAACAAAATTTTTTTTTCAAAAGCAATTATTTTGTTGAAACAAGCAGAAAGTTCTTTGAATCATTTAAATCGGACGCTTTGTTCTCTCAAAAACTGCCATTTTTTAACATTTAGCTCTGTATCTCCGAAACCGCTGGGCCTACCTTTGCCAAAAACTAATAACCACTTTTTCCCCTCATTACGAACTGAATGTTTTTTGGATCATACAAATCGGATGATCCGTTCTCTCAAAAACTCGATTTCTATTTTCTGCACTCTTTGCTTCATATCTCCGTAACGGCTGGACCTGCCTTTGCCAAAAACTAATCAGCACATCTCCCTATTAATAGGAATCGAATGTTTTTTAA